TTTTTTTTTGAGACAGAGCCTCAAGCTGTTGCCCGGGGTAGAGTGCTGTGGCATCACAGCTCACAGCAACCTCCAACTCCTGGGCTCAAGCAAGTCTCCTGCCTTTGCCTCCCAAGTAGCTGGGACTACAGGTGCCTGCCACAACGCCCAGCTATTTTTTGGTTGCGGCCATCATTGTTGTTTTGGCGGGCCCGAGTTGGATTCGAACCCGCCAGCTCAGCTGTTATGTGGCTGGCACCTTAGCCGCTTGAACCCCAGGCACTGAGCCATGATATCTTGTCTTACACGGTCTCAAATACAACAAAGCTACAACAGAAATATGTCAATATAATCATGAGTTTATCATTTGGAAAAACTTAAGTTTTTCCTCTCTACTATAGTTTTGACTTTAACATAGTTTTATGCTATTTAAATATCATGTATAACATTTTTCATAATATTTACAGTGTTGATAACAAAATCTCTCTAATTCCTTTACAAAAACATGCTTATAATAAGAAAGCTTGGCACACCTGAATGCCTCTAATTCCTTTAGGTGCTTATGCTGTGCCTTGAGTGTTGTCTCCAGCTCCAGTTTAGTCTGTGCAAGTTCGCTCTTCAGCTCGGCAGCCACCATCTTCTCGGCGCCCAGCTGCTCCTGCAGCTCTGCCGCTCTGTCCTTAGCGCTGCTCAGCTCCCGCTGCATCTCCAGCATGTGAGTCTGCTTCTGCAGGGCGCTGCACTCCAGAGGCTCTGAGTGGAATGTGGCAAATGATTAAAATATGATCAAACCACTCATACTTGGTTCACAAATATTTTGTTGCTGAGAACTGATTTGTAATTTAGGAGACTTCTGCAAAGCAAATACGAAAGGCGAGAGATTCCAGTCCAGGAGCTGGTGATTCATATCATGTACTTTATGTGCATTTCCTTCCCAGTGCTAGTGGTCAAGATTTTCAGAACTACAAATATCTATGAAGATGACAAAAGTTTAAAAGAATACAAACTTCAAATGTTCAAATAAGATTATAAATAGGAACCTGTATTTTGTTCATCCAGAATTTCAACAGCTAAAATTCCAAAGAGTTTTGACAGCCACCCAGAAACAGCCTGTAGCAGTTCCCATGCAGCCAGGACCACAGTTATCAGCTCTGCGTGCACCTTTTGTTCAGCACACCTTTGCAGACAGTTTTAGGAACTTTAACTTTAACTGACTCCAAAAGTAGGAAGTCTAAATCCCAGTTTGGATACTGGTGCTTTCATTAAAAACCAACTGAACTCCTGCAACATATTTGTTACAATGAAAAAAAAAATTTGAAAAACTTAATCCCTAAGTATGTTAAATGAAAAAAGAAAGTGTGGGCTCGGCACCTATAGCTCAATCGGCTAAGGCGCCAGCCACGTACACCTAAAGTGGCGGGTTCGAATCCCCAGCCCGGACCCGCCAAACAACAATGATGGCTGCAGCCAAAAAATAGCCGGGTGTTGTGGCGGGCGCCTGTGGTCCCAGCTACTTGGGAGGCGGAGGCAAGAGACTCGCTTGAGCCCAGGAGTTGGAGGTTGCTTGTGAGCTGTAATGCCACGGCACTCTGCCCAGGGGGACAGCTTGAGGCTCTGTCTCAAAAAAAAAAAAAAAGAAAAAAGAAAGTGTGCTACAAAATATGTATTAGGATCCTCTTTATAAGAAAAATATAAATTTACATGCACATGCACACTGAAAGGGTCTAAAGACCTATTTATCCAGGTGTTACATAGTCATTATTTTAGGATATAGGGGATTCTATGGATGATTTTTATTTCATTCTTCTGTTGCTATATTGTATAAAGTTTTTAACCTGACAAATTCTATCAAAGCATATCAATTCATATTACTGTTCATATTAATGAGGTTAGGAGACACAAATAACATTGGCTTTAGCCAATAATCAATCATGTTAGTTTAGGCTTTTAAACTATAGAAGCTAAGGATTTATATACTATATACATATGAATCTGTGTGACATTAAGATTTCAACAGTGTTCTGTTTAAATAATTTTTTTTTCTTCGAGACAGAGTCTCATTTATCACCTGTGGTAGAGTGCCCTGGTGTCACAGCTTACAGCAACCTCAAACAACTCTTGGGCTCAAGCGATCCTCTTGCCTCAGCCTCCCAAGTAGCTGGGACTACAGGAACCTGCCAGAATGCTTGGCTATTTTTAGAGACGGGGGTCTCGCTCTGGCTCAAGCTGGTCTCGAACCTGTGAGTCAGGCAATCTACCTGCCTCGGCCTCCCAGAGTGCTAGGATTACAGACATGAGCCACCGTGCCCCCTGGCCTTTAAATAATATGAATCAACTCTCTAAAAATAGTCTTCAATTATGCTTATGTCTAACGACATAGGTTTTTTTGTTTTTGAGATAGCCTCGCCCTGTGGCCCAGGCTAGAGGGCCATGGCATCAGCCTAGCTCATAGATACCTCAAACTTCTGGGCTGAAGTGATCCTCCTTCCTCAGCCTCCTAAGTAGCTGGGACTATAGGCACCCGCCACTATACCTGGGTGCATTTTTTTCTATTTTTACTAGAAGTGGGATCTTGCTCTTGCTCAGATTGGTCTTGAACTCCTGAACTCAAGCAATTCTCCTGCTTTGGCCTCCCAGAGTGCTAGGATTGTAGGTGTGAGGCACCACACCTAGTCTAAAGAAATATATTTAATTTATCTCATTATACCTGTTTCTGCAAAAGTGATTTTAACCTGCTGCAGCTTTTCTATGACAAATAAAAGATAATACTGTGACTTTAGAAATTTGCCAAAGCAGAAAATTACTGAAGTCCCTGGCATATGATGGAAATTAGATTTCACTATACTGCAATGATTTCCATCTATAGCTCAATTTAAGTGGACAAACACCTCTATCCAAAAATGGAGGTTAAAAATCCGAACAAGCCTATCACAAAAGTAAAAATCCAACCAGCCAATAATCATATGAAAAACGATTAAACTACTTCAGCAATCAGAGGAAAGTCAATTAAAACTACAATCAGAATCTAGTGCATTCCCAACCAAATGGCAGAAGGGGTCTGATGAGGCCAGCTGCTGGCAAAGAGGTGAAGCAACAGAGCTCTCATATCCTGCTAGTGAGCGTGCAAACTGATATGACCACTTTAGAAAAAAGTTTGCCATTACCTAATAAGTTTGAAAATATGTATCCTATGACCCAGCAATTCCACTTCTAGGTATGTATTTACTCAGAAGGGTCATACATGTGTACATCAGAATCACCGTGCAACAATGTCCCTAATAGCATTGACTGCGACAGCTAAAAAGTAGAAACAACTCAAATGTTCAATCATAAAATGAATATATAGATTTTAGAATATGTATGCAAGGGAATTCTATGTAATAACAAAAATGAGTGAATGAGAGATAAATGCAATTACTTGGAAGAATGTTATAGTCAAGGGAAAGAAGGCAGACACGACATGTATACAGATTGATAAAGGTCAAAACAGAAAAAATTTAAACTTACATGGTTTAGGAATATATAATTAAATAGTAAAACTAAAGAAAAATCAGGATAATGATTACCTCAAAGGAGCATGCATTTGGAAAGGGGGGGCCCTTTGGGAAACTGGCAATGTTCTGGTTCTTCACACGGGTTATATTACCAGAGATACTTGTTGAATACTTTTTCATAGCATATATTTGCATTTGTATTTTCTTGTATGTTATTGCTTACAATGTTTTGAAAAGGATTAGAAAAGAATTAGTTACTTGCATTGTGGGTTTCTTTCTCTGTTAAGTGGTTATCTTCTAAAGAATAAAAGAAACATTTAAGATAATGAACTTAACAGGCTTAACAGTGATCAGGGCAATGGCAGGTCATTTTTATTACAGGCAGTTCCTGGTTATGACCCAGACATGTTCTGGAGGTTTACTCTTAAATTGAATTTGTATGTAAGCTGAACACTTACCTATTACCTATAATAGTTTCTGTTCAAATATGTGCAAGTTGTATGTAAGTCAGATGTTTGTAATTGAGAGGCTGCCTGTAAATAGAGCTGTTCAAAACCAATCTGACAATCCTCTAACTCCTATAGTAATTAATATAGATTACCTTGATGTTATGAGAATGAAAAGAAAATGTGACTGAGAATATGTGTGTTACGTGAACAATAATAAGAGGAAGGGAAACAAAGTGAAATATTTTCAGCCATACCATGGCTTGGTTTATCATTCTCTTGTTCTCTTGTCAGAGTCATTTTTCTAGCATTCATTTGGGCGTGCAGTGATTGAATTTCAGATAACAAACTCCTTCTATCTGCTTTCTGGAGACATTCCATAGCTGCTTGATATTCAATACCCTATAACAAAAGGAAATAAAAAATCAAGTGAAGAAAGTTGCAGACATCAGAAAAGAATGAATGGAATGCCCATGCTAAAAGGTTTTTATTTAAAAAATTTCACATGGACAGAACTGGAGGACATATATTAACTGAAATAAGGTCGGAACATAAATATTGCATCTCCTCACTTATATGTGAAAGCTAAAGTAAAGGTATCCCAAGGCTGGGTGTGGTGCCTCATGCCTGTAATCCCAGCACTCTGAGAGGCTGAGGTGGGTGGGCTGCCTGCATTCTGGAGTTTGAGACCAGCCTGAACAAGTGCAAGACCCTGTCTCTAAAAATGGCTGTGCATTGTGGGTACCTGTAGTCCCAGCTATTTGGGAGGCTAAGGCAAGAGAATCGCTTGAGCCCGAGAGTTTGAGGTTGCTGAGTGCTATGACGCCAACTCTACAGAGGGCAACAAAATGACACTCTGACTCAAAACAAAAGCAAAAACAAAAAAAAGGGTATCTCATAGAAGAAAGAAGTGGAACAGAGGACACCAAAGGCTGGGAAGAGTAGAAGGAAGGGAGCGTTAGGGAGATATGTGTTAAAGGATACAAAATTACAGCCCGATAAGAGGAATCAGTTTTACTGTTCTACACCACAGGATTACTATAGTTAACAATTATGTATACAGTTTCAAATAGCTAGAAGGAGGATTTTGAACACTTTTAACACACAGAAAAAAATAAATGTTTGAGATGACAGATAAACGAATTACCCTGATCTGATTATTACACATTATTTGTATTGAAACATCACTACATGTACCCCATTAATATGTACAATCAATTAAAAAACATAAAATTTAAAACTCAAGAAAAAAACATTATTTTTCTTTTCCAAAATGTGTGAGGATATATTGTATACAAGTGCTCTCTTATCCCTAAATATTACATAGAATACGTAAAAGTGGAATTAAGCTATTACCTGTAATAGCTTCTGTTCGTATGGGCAAGTTGTTGATTATTTAATATACAGAACTTACTGGGATTTTGCTAAATGTCCTTTATAGCAAAAGGAAAAGTGATATTCGCAAGTTTGTAGCTTTCATAACCTTAAAGTTTTGAAGCAAGCAGGCTATTTTATATCCTTCAATTAAAAAAAAACTTTTTTATTTTTAATTTAAGCCAAATTCCTGTGTAACTTTATGCAGGTTTTCTGAAAGACAACATCTTATGTAATCACAGAACATTATCAAAACCAGGAAACTGACATTGGTATAATACTAGTTAGACTATAAGGCTTATTTATATTTCATTATTTTCTATATGCACTCATTTATTTCTTGGTGTATAGTATGATACTATGAAATTTTATCACATGTATAGGTTTACATAACTGCTGTACAATCAGGGTACAGATTATTTCATTACGGCAAAGAAATTCCATTGTAGTCACACCCTCTTGCTAACCCTAAACCCTGAAAACCAATGATTTTGTTCTGTAGAACTGTAATTTTGGAATTTCAAGAGTGTCATAAACCACACAAGATGCTGTGGGTAGAAATCCTTTGTTCCTTTTTAATTGTTTAGATTAAACAATCGTATAGATATAGCACAAGTCTGTTTACCCATTTATCTGTCAGAGGATATTTGGGATGTTTGTGGTTTTGGCTACTAAAAATAAATCTGTTATGATATTCACGTATAGGTTTTTCTGGAGACTGATTATCTAGTGTGTGATTACTAGCTTATATGGTAAGTGTATCTTAAACATTATAAGAAACTGCCAGATTATTTCCCAGAGTTGGGTTTCCTACTTTACATTCCTAGCAGCAGTGTAAGAGATGTCGTTTCTCCGCATCCTCACCAGCACTTGGTGTCGTCACATACATTTTTTACATCAATTTGTATTGGTCTGATATTTCTCCAAGAGGGGACTCTGATTGTGCATTTAACAGTAATACCACAAAGTGATATTTTTTATCATCATATAATTACTGATAAGGACTATATATACTTTATCACTGTCCTTATCAGTAATTATATGATGTCCTTATCAGTAATTATATGATGTCTGTCTGTTCCATTACTGGTTATATTAACTGAGCCAGTGGTTAAGGTGGTACCTGCAAGGTTTCTCCTCTGCAAACTTACTGCCTTTCCCTTTTAGAGAAAATTAAAGTTTTGTTTAGATACCTGTTCTCGTAGTCTCTGTTCCAAACAGCTTAATAATCCAACTGCATCTCTAGTACCCAGAGCTGTCAGCTCAGTCTGAAACACGGCTAATAAAACACTGCGCTCCTTTAAGAAAACTTGTTGAAGGGCAAGCAGAAGTTCACCTCGCCAGTCTGAGAAGCTCTCCTGAGATTGAGAACTATCATAAACCTAGTGGAACACAAATAATAAGTTAGTTTTCAAATGAGCATCCCTTTAAAGTAGCCCCCAAATACTAATCTATTAACCAAAATAAATATTAACAGCCTAAGAGCATAAAAATTTACTTTCAAGTATAAAAGTATATATAGTAATCCGTGTGAAAACACATAAAGATAATTTAATTTGTAAAGTGCATTGTTATTGTCACGAATAATATAAAACTATTTAGATATTCAATATTCTTTGGGTACCTCAGCTTCCCTTTGCGCTTGCATTTTGGTAATTAAATCCTTAAGAGATGAGATTGTACTGAGGTAAGCTCTTCTCTCCTCTAGCCAAGATTCTGAAACCTGGTGAACAGAATGGTCTTCTCCGTCACTATAGGGAGACTCTGTGAGAGAAAGCACCTGCATGCCCTCATTATGGACAGCTCTCAGTAATCCCTAGAAACCAAAACCCAAAAGTCAGAATTACGACAACTTATTTAAAGACTGAAAAATTACAAAGAGAAATGAATTTAAAGCAAGATAGCTTTATCTAGCTATACTGATTTAGAAAATCCATTGCATATAGAAAACTCTAGCCCAACATTACAGAATGCCTTCTTCCTATGAAGCAGTAAGCTGACTTTTCATAGCTCTCCTCCTAAGTTCCTCTAATATAGCCAATGTATTCTTGCTAGGTTTGGCATTGATCTGACCAAAAGATATACATGGGAAATAAAAAACCAAAAAATATTAGGAAGGCACAACTGCATATGCCTGCAGTCCCAGCTACTTGGTGGGCTGAGGCAGGAAGACTGCTTCACATCAAAAGTTTGAGCCGTCCTGAGTTACAATCGTGTCACTGCGCTCCAGGAGCATGGGAGACACATCTACTTAAGAAAAAAACAACAAACAAATGGGCAGTGCCTGTGGCTCAAGGAGTAGGGTGCTGGCCCCATATACTAGAGGTGGTGGGTTCAAACCTGGCCCTGGCCAAAAACTGCAAAAAAACAAACAAACCAGACCACAGCCTCAAGGCTCCTTTTTAACTATGTAATTCTTTCTTCAGAGGAGATCTCACAATATAACTTCTTTTTTTTTTTTTTTTTTGAGACAGAGCCTCAAGCTGTCACCCTGGGCA